AGACCAAGAATTCAAGAATCAAGACAATGTTTTTATTTGTATTTTTTCAGGACTTTTGGGAAATACTCAACTTTGAGCTTTTAAAGGGGAACACCTTGTATTTTTTTGGAAAAAAAGCGTATTTCACAACCCCTCTAAACATTCATCCCTTTTCCTTCAGCTTAGTCTCAATTTCAAAAGTCGCCACAGGGTAATGAACTGCCAACTCATTCATTCATTTTCTTTTCGGCTTAGTCCTTTTATCAATCTGGGGTCGCCACAGCGGAATGAACCGCCAACTTATCCAGCATATGTTTTACGCAGCGGATGCCCTTCTAGCTGCAACCCATCATTGGGAAACACCCATACACACTCATCCACACACATACGCTATGGACAATTTAGCTCGCCCGATTCACCTATTGCACATGTGTTTGGACTGTGGGGGAAACCGGAGCACCCGGAGGAAACCCACACCAACACGGGGAGAACATGCAAACTCCACACAGAATTGCCAACTGACCCAGCCGAAGCTCAAACCAGCAACCTTCTTGCTGTGAGGCGATTATGCTACCCACTGCGCCACTGTGACACTCAGGAACTGCCGACTATTCCAGCATATGTTTTACGCAGGATATGCCCTTTCAACCACAACCCAGTACTGGGGAACCCCCACACAACTTGAGAGGTACTGCAAAGAGGAATGGGCAAAAACTCCCAAAGACAGGTGTGCCAAGCTTGTGGCATCATATTCAAAAAGACTTGAGGCTGTAATTGCCTGCAGATGCCCTTCCAGCTGCAACTCATCACTGGTAAACACCCATACACACTCATTAACACACACACACTCATACACTACGGCCAATTTCGTTTATTCAATTTCCCTATAGCGCATGTGTTTGGACTGTGGGGGAAACGGAGCACCCGGAGGAAACCCACGCCAACACGGGGAGAACATGCAAACTCCACACAGAGATGCCAACTAGCAATTTTAAGTAAAGTAACTATTATTAAATTCATTCAGCTTATCTCTGGGTCTGGCGGGAGCATAGCTTAGCATAGATCATTGGATCAGATTAGGCTGTTAGCATCTCACTCAAAAATGACCAGAGAGTTTCAATAAATGTCTTACTTAAAGCTTGACTGTTCTGTAGTTAGATTAAGACTGACGGAAAATGAGAAGTTGTTGTTTTTTTTCTAAGGCTAGTGTAATCCCGCCGGTCCTACGCCACCCAACCCACTCCGAGCTGGAAATGAACCGGCGACCTTCCGCATGAGAGTCGGTTGCTCTAACAAGGAGGCGAAAGACCATGGCCTCCAGCGTCTGTCGCTAGAGCACCTTTAGTGGTGTCATGTTCACCAGCGATCAAACCACCAGAGGTCGCTGGTTAACACTCACATCCACATGAACTACAAATCTGCTTCTAAATGGACAACATAACCGGTCATGCTCCACACACACAACCGATTCCAGATCCTGACTGATTGCATACACACAGATGCTGCTCATGTACCGATTACACACCCGTATATACAGCTCACTGTGAAACCCTTAGTGCTGAGTCTTGTTATCTGTCACAGTGACATTACAACGTGTTTTCTTTGTCTGCCTTTGCCGTGTTTTGATCTTTGCCTTGCTTATTTATTTGATTCTGTTTGCTGCCTGCCTCTGACCATCTGCCTGTTATTTTGACTTCGACTCTGGATTGACCTCATACATTTGTTTGCCCCTGCATTGACCACTGCTTGTCTGACGATTCTATTAAACCTGCACGTGGATCCAAACTTCTGTTGTTAGTGTCACTCTCCGGCGTTACAAGTGGTCAGAAGAGTGAGGTTTACCTGCACAGCACTTCACTAGCTGGCCTCCTTTACACTCACCCCCCTAAACCTCATTCCTATCTGAGTCAAGGCACCAATGCAGGTCCTAGGCCATCAAACCCACTCCGAGCTGGGATCGAACCCGCGACCTTCCGCATGGGAGTTGGTTGCTCTAACAAGGAGGCTAAAGACCATCGCCTCCAGCGCCTGTCGCTAGAGCACCTTTAGAGGTCAGAGGAGTGAGGTTTACCTGCACAGCACTTCACTTCACTTCACTTCACACAGCTGATCAGAACGCGCACGACAACACCGCTATTCAGTACGCGTGCGGCGACAACCCCGCTTCAGGTTCGATCATTTCCAGCTCTTTTTGATGCCCACTTTTAGCAGTACACTCCATTTCCGCATTACTGTATCTGTAGCGCCAACAGACCGCAAGGGATTATGGTCAAGCCTGGGCTGATGGGAATTGTAGTTTCCGCTACCTCCCGTTCGCTTCATTCGCCTGAGCAAATTTTCTCAGAAGACCTATAGTTTTACCGAGTCATGCGACCACGGTAATATCGAAAAAAAATTAATATTGCGGTATGACAGTATTTACAAAACCGTTACATCCCTAGTGTTTAGAAGTTCAGACAGACGCATGCATGATCATAAACACAGCATGCACATGCCGAGCGTTATTCTAGTGTGCACTTACCCTGAGTTTCATCACCATCAATGATTTACTCGCTGATGGGTTAAAGTGTGTGTGAGCATGAATCTGTGAGTATATACATGATGTTTGACAGTAAGTGTGTTGTCCTCTTTGAGTAAAGCTTGAGTTAGTTTGGTATCCTTACACCACAGTGGACGACAGCGTCTTATGTTTTCCTGGATAAGGAGGCGTCCTCATTTTCACCTGTCCGTTCTGAGGATAAGGCGGCGGCCGGTGGGTTTTATTGGAGTTATTAGTGCACACCACTGGGACTATAGGGGGTTTGTGGGTTTCCAGTTGGACTTTCTTAGCTATTCGATGTGCTACGCAGTTTCCGTTGGCCGTCCTGTGAGTCCTTTGAGTCTCTGAGCTGTGTTTGCTGCTTTTATCCTCAATGTTAATGTCATGTTGTTTAGTAGGGGACGAGTTTGAGTGGTTTCTCATTGGTGAAGGGCTGTTAATGTGGAGTAAATCCGAAGGGCTGTGCGTGAGAGAGGAACTGGATGTTGACGTGTCGTTTTCATCTCCATTTGAATGATGTATTAAAGCCACAACGTCTGTCTGACTGCTTCTCATGGCATCTTGTGGAAGTCCATTGGATGGTGTTGGTTGCTCTTCACTGAGGTCAATGTTGGACGTCAGAACGTCAATCTGTTGGACGACCTTTAGAAATGGAGAGTGATAGAAAAGATGGGTTAGGAAATAGTTTGCATGAGAACAAAATTGTGTCATTTATTGGATAAAAAACTAAATATCATGCTTTTTTTTTCATGCAAACCTCCAAAAACATTTAGGGATGCCAGGTTTTCACAGGAAAACTAGCACACTTTTGTAGTTTACGTAAGAATATAATTCTGTCATTATTGGACCAAAAAAAAAGGACCAATCATGCTTTTTTTAATGCAAAGCTCCAAAAAAAAAAAAAAAAGGACTTGGGTAGGGTTGCCAGGTTTTTGTAAAATAACTAGCGCAATTTTGTAGTTTGCATAAGAATAAAATTCTGTCATTATTGGACTAAAAAGAGCGCCAACCATGCTTTTTCTTAATGCAAAGCTCTAAAAAAGCACTTAGTCAGGGTTGCCTGGTTTTTGCAACAAAACTAGCACAATATTGAAGTTTGCTTAAGAATACAATTCTATCATTATTGAGCAAAAATGTTAATGGTCCTTTTCAACTAAAATAAAAAGCTCCTAGGGTTGCCAGGCTTTTGCAACAAAGCAAAAGCAATTTTGTAGTTTGCATAAGAATAAAATTCCGTCTCCATTGGAGCAACCATTTTTCAACCATTTTTTTCAACCATTTTTTTAAATGCACAGCTCTAAAAACACTTATTCAGGATTAACTATTATTTTAGTTTGCATAATAATAAAATTCTGTCATTCATGAGCAAAGAAGTTCATGGTGCTTTTTTAATGTAAAGCTAAAAAAGCATTTAGGATTGCCAGGTTTTTACAACAAATGTAGTTAAATTTTCTAGTTTGCATGAGAACAAGTTTGTATCATTAGTTCTGTCTTTAATTAAAAAAAAGTCAAACTATGCCTGTTTTCATGCAAAATTTCAAAAAGTGCACGCAGTCAGGGTTGCCAGGGTTTTTTGCCGTAAATTGCCGTAGTTGGTGCAGTTTTGTAGTTGGCATAAGAATAAATTTTTGTCAAGATTGAGAAAAAAGTTAATTGTGCTTTTTTTATGTAAAGCACTTAGGGTTGCCAGGTTTTATAAACAAAACTAGCTCAGTTTTGTTGTTTGCATGAGAATATTAGTATTTCGTTAATAAAAAAAATCAAATGATGCTATTTTTTTTCATGCAAAATTTTTAAAAAGAACTTAGGGATGCCAGGTTTTTGCAACAAATGGAGTTCAATTTTCTAGTTTGCATGAGAACAAGTTTTTATCATTAGTTCTGACTTTAATTAAAAAAAAAAGTCAAATTTTGTTTTTTTTCATGCAAAATTTCAAAAAGTGGATTTATTCAGGGTTGCCAGGTTTTCGCAATAATACTACCATAATAAATGTGTGTATAATAATACAATTCTTTCATTATTGAGAAAAAATTCATGGTGCTTTTTTAATGCAAAGCTAAAAAAAAATAAAAAAGTCCTTACGGTTGCCAGGTTTTTGCATCAAGACAAGTGCAATTTTGTAGCTTGTGTAAGAATAAAATTCTGTCATTATTAAACCATGCTTTTTAATGCAAAGCTCTAAAAAACACTAGGGTTAACACTTTAGGGTTAACTAATATTTTAGTTTGCATAATAATACGATTCTGACATTAATGAGCAAAGAAGTTCATGGTGCTTTTTTTTAGGGTTGCCAGGTTTTCACAACAAATGTGGCTCAATTTTTTAGTTTGCATAAGAACAAGTTTTTATAATTAGTTCTGTCTTTAATTAAAAAAAAAGTCAAATTATGCCTGTTTTCATGCAAAATTTCAAAAAGTGCACATAGTCAGGGTTGCCAGGTTTTTTTTGCAATAAAATTGGTGCAGTTTTTTAGTTTGCTTAAGAATACATTTTTGTCAATATTGAGAAAAAAAAAGTGAATTGTGCTTTTTTAATGTAAAGCACTTAGGGTTGCCAGGTTTTACAAACAAAACTAGCTCAGTTTTGTTGTTTGCATGAAAATATTAGTTTGTTTGTTAATAAAACAAATCAAATTACGTTTTTTTCTCATGCTAAATTTTTAAAAAGAACTTAGGGATGCCAAGTTTTTGCAGCAAAACTAGAACATAAGAATACAGTAAGAATAAGAATTCAATTTTGTCATTATTAAGTAAAAAAGTGCATGGTCCATTTTTTTCATGCAATGCAAAAAAAATGCTGTGAGGGTTGCCAGGTTTTCACAACAAAACTAGCGCAATTTTGTGGATTGCATAAGAATAAAATTCTGTCTTTATTGAACCAAAAAATTACCAATAATGCTTCTTTAATGAAAAGCTCTGCAAAAAAAAAAAAAAAACAATAAATAAATTTAGTCAGGATTGCCAGGTTTTTACAAAGAAACTAGTGCAATTTTGTGGATTGCATAAGAATAAAATTGTCATTATTGGCCCCAAAAAAAGTACCAGCTTTGTTTTTGTTTTTTTATGCAAAGCTACAAAAAAGTGCTTAATCAAGGTTGCCAGGTTTTCGCAATCAAAATAATGCAAAATTGTAGTTGGCATGAGAATATAATTTTGTCATTGAGTAACAAAGCTGATGGGTCTTTTTAATGCAAAGCTCTAAAAAAAACACTTAGGGTTGCCAGATTTCTGACAAAACAAGTGCAGTTTTGTAGTTTGTATAAGAATAAAATATTATCATTATAGTTCTGTTATTAATAAAAAATGTCAACTTGTGTCTTTTTAAACAAAACAATTAAAAAAGCATTTAGTCAGGGTTGCCAGGTTTTTGCAGCAAAACTTTTAGTTGGCAAATTAATACAATTTTGTCCTTGAGCAAAAAAAGTTCATGGTGCTTTTTTCTAGCAAAGCTTAAAAATGCTCTTAGTCAAACTGGCCAGTTTTTGCAAAAAAAAAAAAAAAAAACTACAATTTTTTAGTTTGCATAACAATAACTTTTTGTCTTTATTCATTAAGAAATGTTCAAATTATGCTTTATTATGCAAAGTTTAAAAAAAAAAAAAAACATTTAGGGTTCTCAGGTTTTCCTAATAACACTAGCGCAACTATTTTAGTTTGCATAAAAAAATACAATTCTGTCATCAATGAGCAAAAACGTTCATGGTGCTTTTTGACATGCAAAACTTACTCATGATTGCCAGGTGTTGACAACAAAAATAGCGCCCATCCCCAAATACATATTTTACTGAGGTGTGCATTATTTGTAGTTTCTTCATTTTTTACATTTGCATATCAACATATCAAACTAGCATTTGTTTTTTTTTATTTTACATTAAACACAATTCTGTCAAACCACAATGCAAATACAATACAAAACTTATCCTCTGAGGTTTTTATCAGGTAAACATATCGTCAAAATAACCCTTGTTTGACTTCCTTCACTCTGATGCATCAACTGCATCCTATACTTGTAATAATCCCGCCTCTAAACTCCTCCATTGGTCAAAGGTTGTGAACCAATCAATGTTTTAAAGCCTCCAGTCACATTATTTAACTCGAAAACAAGTCAAATTAGTGACTGAATTAAAGCAAAACCTCTTCAATCTGTGGCCATATTTGCACTTGTTTTTTTGTCATTATCATCTCTAATACTCACCTGAATGCTGAAAAGTTTCTAAATGTATCCTCAGAGGTCATCAGGTAAACATATATTGTAAAATTAACCCTTGTTTGACTTCATTCACTGTAATGCATTAATATATACATCCTAGACCCCTTAACTCATGTCATTGGTCGAAAGTTAGCGTCTAGCCACAATGAGCCATTCATATTTTGAAGCCATCCGAGTCGCATTATTTCACTCTTAAATAAGTCAAACTAGTGACTGACTTAAAGCAAAACCTATTCAGTCTTTGGCCATATTTGCATGTATGTTTCAGCCATTATTGCATCTTGTACTTTCAGCCATTCAAAGTAATGCGAGTGTCCTCACGGGTCATTATCGGGTAAACGTATCATAAAAATAACCCTTGTTTGACTTCCTCCACTCTGATGCATTCATATACTGACTTTATATCCTGCTGCAGTCCTATACTTCTAATAGGAGTCTGGATGCATTCATTGAAGCGTATCTAAATAATTCAATTAATGTCTTGCATCCTGCGCGCAGTCCATTATTGCTGATGCTCATCTGCACATATTAGGCTATCTTTAGGTATTGATTTTAAGATTCTGCCCTCATTTAGTCTCTTCCAGAAAGTACAACAGTGAAACATTTACAGCTCTCTGTATATATACACTGACTGGCCACTTTATTAGGCACACCTTACTAGTACTGGGTTGGACCCCCTTTTGCCTTCAGAACTGCCTTAATCCTTTGTGACAGATTCAACAAGGCACTGGAAATATTCCTCAGAGATTTTGCTCCATATTGACTTGATAGCATCACACAGTTGCTGCAGATTTGTCGGCTGCACATCCATGATGTGAATCTCCCGTTCCACCACATCCCAGAGGTGCTCTATTGGATTGAGTTCTGGTGACTGTGGAGGCCATTTGACTACAGTAAACTCATTGTCATGTTCAAGAAACCAGTCTGAGATGATTCACGCTTTATGACATGGTGAGTTATCCTGCTGGAAGTGGCCATCAGAAGATGAGCACACTGTGGTCATAAAGGGATGGACATGGTCAGCAGCAATACTCAGATAGGCTGTGGCGTTGACACCATGCTCACTTGGTACTAATGGGCCAAGAAAATATCCCCCACACCATTACACCACCACTATCAGCCTGTTGATACAAGGCAGGATGAATCCATGCTTTCATGTTGTTGATGCCAAATTCTGACCCGACCATCTGAATGTGTCAGCAGAAATGGAGACTCATCAGAGCAGGCAATGTTTCTCCAATCTTCTATTGTGCAGTTTTGGTGAGTCTGTGTGAATTGTAGCCTCAGTTTCCTGTTCTTAGCTGACAGGAGCGGCACCCGGTGTGCTCTTCTGCTGCTGTAGCTCATCCGACTCAAGGTTGGATGTGTTGTGGGTTTAGAGATGCTCTGCTGCAGACCTCGGTGCTTATTTGAGTTACTGTTCTATCAGCTGG